TGCCAGTATTACTGACAAAAACGTCGTGTTCCCTTGCTCTTGGCTAGAATCATATCCACTCATTATGTTAACAGTGACTATTTCATGTTGATCAAAACGTCTTGACTGTTTGCTGATATCATGAGAAAGATGCCTTAAAGTTAGAGTGGCCTTAAAATTTATTGCAAGTGGGATACTTTCTGAAAGTAAAGGGAGGTGCTACTAACAATTACACCAAGATAACAGGTGAAAACCAGGAAGTATGGTCCTCACTGGGTGAGGCTGGGGAGAAAGCTATGTAAAATCACCCACAGAATCAGGAAAAGGGTTGTAAAAAAGTTTTTATCCAGTTTTGTCTTAGGTTTGCCCTGCTTTGGTTTTACACCTCTTACGAGATATTCAACAAAAGTTGATTAAGTACTTACTACATCATAGGTGCTGGGGTTATATCAGTGAACTAGAGAAGGAGGGGAGGAGAGCAAACAAACAGTACCACAGTTCCTTATTTAATCTTGGTAACTGTTATGAAGAATACGTACAAGGGGCTTAAGAGCGTAAAGAAGGGGACTTGATGTAGTCTGCATGTCATGGAAGACTTTGCAGAGGAGAGGGTGTATTTAAGCTGAAATTAAAAGGATGAGAAGAAGTTAGCAACAATATGATCATATGTATATAAAGATATGAGCCCTAAAAACTCAAGGTGAATAGGGGGCATATTTCTGTCTATATCAAATTAAATTCCAGCTCCAGACCCCACACGCCTAGATTGGTTGGAAGTTGATTATCAGCCCAGAGGGGTAAGTGTTCGGGTTTCTCACTAGGACCATCTATGATCATCCAGCTCCAGAGCTGCTTCTCATGCCTGTGTGGCACCCCATACACCCTTGGTCTAGGGGCGTGGCTGGGCTCCAATATGGCAGGAAGACAACAGCAGTCACCCCGCAAGGCCCAGCCAAAGGAGCCTTTCACAAAGTATAGGAGCTTTACAGACTCCACACAACACAAGCCTCAGAGGTTTTATACACATCCTTGTTCTGCTTTTGTTATATTTAATGATTACTTAGATTTAAAAGATTTCAAATAAAATTACCCTGAGCCATTTGGATTTGGAGTATAAGGGAAATCATGTCAATTCAGAAACAAAGTGTTGTATGATTCCACTTATATAAGGCACCTACGGTAGTCAACTTCATAGAGACAGAAAGTAAATGGTGGTTGCCAGGGGCTTGGGGCAGGGGGAATGGGGAGTTAGTGTTCAATGGGCATAGAGTTTCAGTTTGAGATGATTAAAAGTTTTGGAGATAGATGGTGGTGATACTGGTAATGGTTACACAACAATGTAAATGTACTTAACGCCACTAAACTGTACACTTAAAAATAGTTAAAGGGGTAAATGTATGTCATGTATATTTTACCACAACATTAATTAGAGATTTTAATTTTTAAAAATCAAGATTTTTTACTTCTAGAAACTATATGAAATGCCAATATTTCCTTATTTTTCCACTTTTATCATGAATTAAAATTTTTTTCCGATATATAGAAATTATCCATTTAGTTATCACACAATCATAGATTTTCTTAAAATTTGTACTAATCTTTTCAGAGTTACAACAACCACTAAAACACAAATGAATACAAAATAATAAATGAAAAGAGGAGGTATATATCCCCTTATAAATCTCTGAGACAGGATTCATGTAAATATTTTTCTTACTTTGTTTCTTTTTATATTGTAAAGTAAATTCAAGTCTGTGGATTCCGATATCCCACCATGTATGACCAGGACTTCATTGTCAACAATTGCACCGATTGGGAGCCAGGCATAGAGTTCTTCCAAGAGTTGTAAGATTTTTTTTCCATGTAGCTGTAAATAAGAGCTTGAGTAAGTTTCATTTTTCTGATAAGTTCAAGTTTATTGACTAGTCCCAATGTACGGACAAAACGCAAAACAGTTTTCATGCCACCCAAAGGAAGGCAGCATGGAGTCATTAACTCACTAGCATTCATTAATCATGTCTTTTTATTCTGTATTTTTGATACTTTGACATCTTGGAGACTTGATGACCCTAGAGGAGAGACTGCCCCTCCCAGGGCTAGCTAATTTCTAGATATAGTAAATGATTTGCTTTTCATATGTTAACCAATCCAGAGCCCACATCCTTAACCACCTCCTTTATGGGGCTGAAATTATTCAAACCTGTTTAAACTGCCTCCCCCATTCTCTCCCAAAGAAACCACAATAAAAGCTCTTGCTCACATTTTCCCTTCATTCCCTCTACCTTCTGACCAACCCTGGTACTTCACCATGAGGCCCCCAATTTTGTGTGCTGTGCTTCCTGTTTCTAGGTAACTGTGAATAAAAATCTCTTCATTTATGACAGCCATTTCTGTGTCTGCATACCTGAGTAAAACAAATCTCAGGTACCTTTAAAACAATGGAATATGTTTGTACCTATGCTGAAATTTACACAAAAGTCACAATGAAAAAGCTTGCTTTAGTCCAGAAAGAAAATTAAGACTCTACCATGGCCAGGGCTTCCTGCTGTGCTTTTATTTTACTGGTATGGATTCTGACTAGTTCACCCATCACCTTTCCTGAAGGCTCTTTTTTTACTTCTATGTATAGACAACAAAGAGAATACAAAAAAAAAAAAGCACATGAGTCTTACCTTATATTTATGCAAGATTTCTTTTGTGAAGCCATACCTGAAAAAATAATGGGATTTAAACTACTTAATTAAATGTTGATAACGCCTGCTTACATGAGTCATGCAAAAATGGGAGGCTTTCACATCTCACTATCACAAATGCCAACAATTCAAGAAACTAGACTTCAGTTAGAGCTAACTATTACTTTCCCAAGTCTTTGCTAGGCATGCTGGGAAGGAAGGAAAGCAGTCAATGACTTTGTCCCTACCCTCAAGGAGCTTGTAGGATAGATGTGGGAAGAAGATACATTCTCATGAAATAATCATTACAAGACAACTTAAAAAATATGTGGTAAGCATAGCTTGTGTAGATGCTTCTGTGTATTCAGAGAAGTGTGCTGTGGCAGCTAGAAGAAGTTGTGTGGGGGAATGCTTTTCATTTAGATAGAATTTCTCAGACCTCCTATATTTTATAGTAAATAAATGATAGGGGGAGGAGAAAAGACTGAACAAAGACAAAGAAATGCCTAGAAGATTTTTATATTAGCTTTTTATATTCTCTCTGATATAGTTCATGTAATGGTATTGAAGGTTTTAATAGAAAGTGTAGGAATTTTAAAGCCCAAATAGCAGTCGCTGAGGGAAATTTAATGATGAAAATTTTTTCAATTACTTTTTCTTGCCTTAGCATAATAGTATATACCTTTAATACCCAATGTGGTGAAGTTGGAACACCATGTACTCACTACTCACTGTAGGTTTCCATGCGAATCATGTCATGCCAGGCTTCTACAGTGTAACATTATGTTTTTTGAGATAAATTCAGTCCTGCACTCACTGAAGGTGTCCATGTTGTTAAATCCGATGGACACCTTGCAGTCTTCATCTTTCTTGCCCTTGCTGAAATACTAAATACAGCTGACTACAGAGTCCTACTGGAAAACTCTTCTCTTGGATTCCGTGACAATAAACTCTCTTGGTTTTCCTCCTACCTTCCTGGCTGTTGTGAATCTCCTTCGCAAGTTCTCCTCTACCTAGCCTTAAATGTTGGAGTTCCTTCATATTCTGTCCCAGATCCTCTTCTCCCTTCACTTTCTCCCTTGGCAACCTCATCCTTGCCCAGGGCTTTAATTACTATCAATGTACCAATAATACAGGACTGCTCCAGGCCACACTTCATTTCTGAGCTCTAGCCACATATATCCACTGTCTACTTAACAGCACCTCAAATCAGCTTATCCCAAATTGAACTCATTATTCTCTCTTATCCCAACATTCTCCTCTTATGTTGCCAATATCCACGAATGATGCTGTGTACTCCCAAACTCAAGCCAAGAACCTAAAGGTCATCCTTGATTCTCTCCTCTTTCAAGTCCCCCATACCATGCTACGAAGCCTTAAATTATCATTGCCTAAACTTCCCTTAAATCTTATCTACTTCTTTGCATCTGTCCCCACCACCCTCATCTGAGAATCCGTCATCTATCTCTCCAACTACCTCTTAATTAGCCTCTCATATCTACTCTTGTCCCTCTCCAAATTACTCTTCCTGCTGCATTTTAAAATACAAATTTTATATTTCTCAATGATTTTCTGTTGTCTGGAAGAAAGTCTGAATTCCTTTGCACAATCGAACCATTTCTTATGTCTCCAGCCCTATCGGACACCATCCTGTCCCTTAGTCTAATCTCCTGCATTCCTGAACTTCTTTCAAGTTTAAAAAGTCTTGTCTTAAGCTCTGCATAAGTTGTCCCCTCACTGCAAAAGACCATGGCCTTCTCTCTCTCTCTTTTTTTTTCTCATTAAACTTTGTTTTAATGGGGTCTAAAAATTCTGTGATAGATTTGTGGTCAACTTATTTCCATTAAAAGTACTGGTTTTAAAAACTAATAACTTAAAAAACTGCCACACAGAAAAAAAAATAAAAACAACAAATAGTCCATAAAACATTCTCCTTTCCTTCTGAAAGTTTTATGATACATTGTAATCATTAACCAGTCTTTTACTATTAAACTTACCATGGTCTTCTTTTGATTGCCTAATTCACCTTTCAGGTGTCAGGCTAATGCCATACTTTTATGAGGAACCTTCTGTCACCCTTCATACAGGCTGGATCCCTTACTTTACAAACTCATCCCACTTGAAAAACCTGCTCAATGTGTATCTTGCCTGCTAAATGTAAACTCCATGAGGGCAGGGGCCATATCTCTTTCATTAACCATTGTAGGCACTAAATAAACATGACTGGCTAACTGAATAAATGAAAGGATAAATGGCATGTCCAAATAAAAGTATTAAGCTACATTATATATAACAAGTCTCTGATAATAGTCTTGGGATTTTTTCCTCATAGTCTTAGCATTTGCTTCTACAACTAAGAACTAAAACTGAAACTCTGTATTCTGGCCAAGTGCCAAAATTGTCAAAAAAAAAAAACAAAACCAAAACGAATCAGTTACCGAGCTTTGATCAAAGCACCCAAAAGCCCAAGACCAAAAGCACGAAACATGCAATGCCTTCTACTGCCCTAGAACAAACTGGTTCCTGTATTTCATAAAACAAGAAACAAAACAAGAAAAAGAAAGGAAGGAGGAGGAGGAGAGGGGATTAAGGAAGAAGAGGAAGAAGGAAAATAAAGGGAAAGGGGAACATTTTTCACCTACTGTGCCTTTCAGTAAAAATTGGTAAACCATTTAACCAGTCTTTATTCCTCAAATCTCCAATGAGTCAGATAGTTGAAATGCTACCTTACAGCTGTTCTCAAATATGTTTATGAACAACTATGCCAGAAGCAATTACCATGTCATAAAAAATATACAAATCAGTGAAAAACACAGTACTAGTTTCTGAAACAACATCTGAGACAAGCCAAAAGAGTAGCAATAGCCTGCTTATAGAACTTACCACACCTCCAAACCTGGCCTAACAAATCTACCCAGCACACAATTTAGACTGTAAAGGGCGGGCATAGGAAGAAGAAAAAGAACATAATAGAAGGGAGAAGGAAGAACAAAAGTGGAAGAAAAGATAGGAAGGGGACTTTAGAACAATGTATATTCACTTGGTAGAAGATAAAGGGTTGTAACTAGAGGTAAGAATTGAGATCTTCCTTGAGAGTCCCTTCATCCTTACTTCTTTACATGCACTTGTAACTCTCTGCTAGGAACTAAACATGGCAGCATTTTCCAGAATGGGAAACAAAAGAGGAAATCTAAAGGCCCAAGTTACCTCATATTCATCAAAAAGTCTTCATGGTTCCCTCTGTTCAAATGCAGGCTATTGGGGTAGATAAGATAACTCACAAACAGGATCATTAGGATCTCTATGGAATTTTTCCCTCGATCTACGAAATCACCATTAAAGATATATGCGTTGGTTTCTGAGGGGAGACCATTCTGTGGAAGGAAGGAAGGAGGGAAAACAAGCAGTTAAAAGAATGTACTTTTCTTTCTTTTTTTTTTTTTTTAAGGAATATACTTTTCAAGTAAGGTTTTGTATTTAATGTCGCTATGAACATGGAGAAAGAATCTGAGTTAATACTTCCATTGGGAAAAATCTGCTCAGTTGCTTTAGTCAGTTTCACTCTTCAAGGGCAGGTACCTCCTATAAGGGACTTGTACGTGACAAATTAGCTTGGGACAGGAAGATTCTGGGGGGATGGGGATTGGTCATTCTACCTACCACCTACTATGAGTTTGCTCTGAAAGAAGCTGCTATGAGTCTTATCAAAAATGCCTACTCTCTTTTCTTCCTTCTCCCTTGAAAAGAGGGAAACTTCTACCCAAAGAAGAACACTGAACTAAGAGACAAAAGTCCTTCATTCTAAGGGGCTCTATGTTTAACTTCTCTGGGCTATGAGTCCCTCGATTTGCAAAAAGGGGAGGACACTATATCCCTCTCCCCAGATCAAGTGAGAGAATGAATATGAAAGTACCCAGGAAAGTGTAAGACACCATGTAACTGAGAGGAGGGCTGATATACCACCAGTACACACTGATATAATTACACCAGGTATTGATAGCCCATGTGTGTTCTCGCCGCTTACTGACCAGGCCATATTAGTTGTTAAATATTTTGATTATCACTTCTGAGTATGACATAATACTTTTAAACACAGTGTTAGCATGAAAAAAAGAACTGGGATCAGGACAAAGGTCTGGTCTTTATAACAGCTATTAATTCATTTACTTCTGTAGTACTAAACTCTAAGACAAAATAAACATGTCGTGCCTACCAGGCATACCATATATCATGCCCGATAGAGAAATGGCTGAGTGCATCTCTACTGCATAGTGAAATAAATTCAAATGTTTAAAAAATATATTACAAAGAGAAAATTTTAAGCACTCGTATATCCAAATGTATGCCCTCTTTCAAAACAGTTACCTTTAAGAAATAATATACATATTATAGTTATAATAATCATTTTCAAACTATTTTCAAATTCCTCTTTTGTTAGATTTCAAACTACATAAAAAAGTCTTATTCCTTTATACTCACCTTCCTAGTATTTATATACATTTAAATTGTTCATATCGATACAATAGAAATAGTTGAAATATAATTCAGGTTAGGACATATAACTTAGAGATTCCAGAAGTCATTATGCAATGTAACATGTTCTGAAGGCAATTGGAAACAAACAAGCAAACAGTGACATAGTGTTCTGGGCCAGAGATAAGAAGACTTATTCTCTAGTCCAGCTCCACTATTACCCATGTGTCTGTAGGTAAGTTATTTAATCTTTATGAGCTGTTAGTTTTCTGATCTGTAAAATGAGGATGATAACTTCCATACTTACCACACAGGGCTACTTGGGAACTCAAATGAGACTGTGTGGATAAAATTGCAAGAAAACCAACCATAAAGTACCACACAAATTAAGAGATTCATTGGTTTATGACCTCCATGTTATTTCTAAGATCCCATTACTTTATATTTTCTTATACATTAATTCATGTAACTTTATTTACATGGGGCTTAGATAGCATGAGCCAATTGCAAAAATGTTGGCTATTGCTCATCAAAACTTAAAGAAAAAGGGAAGGATTCTGTAACTCTGATACTCTTCCTTCCCCTAGCTTTCAGCTGTCTGGGATGAGTAAGCTGGAGGAGTCTGAGGAGTGTTGGAGGCTATAGGCTCTGTGGGAAGTCCACACCTGAAGAAGGCTAGAGGAGGAGCAGCACAGAGCCCTGGGGTGAGAACATGGAAGAACTAGGCCTGAGGGGATCTGTGAATCCCTTGATAAAGGGAAGACACTGCCTCAGAGCAAGTTTGTGGTCTGGGTTGGGGGAGAGGGAGCTAGATCTTACTAGAAAAAAGCATAGGGGAACTTCTTCCATATCTCTGAAACTAAAAGAACACTATCACTTGCATTTAGGGACACCTAGGAATATAGAGACTTCCTCTCATAGTCTTCATGCAGAAGTAGAAACCGTTGCACCTCCAACTATTGAGAGGCTTAACCTAGCCTAAGCAGAAAACTAGAAAATGGAAATAACCTAATACTTAAGGAGATCTAGTAACCAGAAAGAGGCTGGCCAAACATATCAGTTAAAGTCCTGTCCCCTAATAAGATAGGACTGCTGGAGGAGACAGAAGACCTCATTTTAAAAATAACAAGAGGATCATAAAATAAAGAACAAAACATTAATAATTCTTGACATTTAAAAATGTGCTATTCGAATTTAAAATATTAATAAATTACAGCTATGTAAAAAAAAAAAAAAAAAAGAATGGTTGGAAAATACATTATTGACCTGAAAGAGCAAGCAGATGAAAAATCTCTCATACAGAGCAAAAAGCAAAATGATGGAAATCATGAGGAATGAGTAAGAGATTAGAATTCAGAGCCAAGAGAACTAATATGCCAATAATAAGCATTCAGAATCAGGAAAAAGGAACAGATGGAGAAGAGGCAATAATTATATAAACAAGAGAGGGGATTTTCTATGGTTAAAAAGAGACTTCAGCCTGAAGTTTGAAAGGGCTCACGACTCCTATGCACAATTCCTATTACCTAGTAAAAGTCTTAGAAGCTACCAGACAGAAAGAACAAATTACAGGAAAAAAGATATCGCCCTGGTATCAGATTTCTCATCTGCAGTAATAAGAGGTAGAAGATGGTGGAATGAAATCTACAAATTAAAGCATGTACTGATGGGAAAAAAATCTACAAATTAAAGCGAGAAAAGAGTGCTCATTTCGGCAGCACATATACTGGAAAAAAAAAAGAAGAAAAAAAAGAAAAGGACTATGAACTAAGAATTCTATACTGACCAAGACGTCACTAAGTTCTCAGGGTGATAGAAAGTATTTACGTGTAAAGTATCAAATACCACCACTAACATAAATGTTCTTCAGGGTGTAGCGATCTAATGCCACAAAAAAATGAACATGTATTGATTGCTTTTTATGTACTAGAGACAATTTTAGGTGCTAGAAATACTGAAGTGAACTATACAAAGTCCTCGCATTCAAGTAGCTTGCATTCAGAGAATATAGCACCCACATGCCCCATAGAGGAAAACACTCAAGGAAATATTCTAAGCAAATAAAAGCAGTAACAATAAAAAGACCTCAAGCAGGGAAAGACCAAGAGGAAAGAATATGAATGTGAACAATGAACTTTGCAACTTATAATTAAATATAAATCAATAGTGATAATGTGGGACTTGCATTTAAGTATTAAACAAGAATTCTAGAAATAGAAAAGACATACTATTAAGGAAAACCTAATAACCATCAAGAACTAAAAATATGGCATGAGCAATAGCTAGGATTTGCAGGAGAGGTGAAAGGAGAAAAGTAAAATTCTCTACAAATCTCATTTGAATGTGGGACATAACATGAGAAACTGTAAAAATAAATACATTCATCTTACTGGAGGAGAGATAGGGTAATGGTGGAGGAATAAAGTTATAGCTATTTGAGAAATACACACATTATGTATTTAAAATGTCAGGAATGAGTAGATAACCATTAGTGAATGAAAAAGTACAGCAAAAATGCCAATGAAAACAATAAAAAAGAAAACTTCACTAAAACAGCACAAAGAAAAAGAAAAGAATGGAACAAAGAGAAATAAATATTAGACAAAATGGAACAGAAAAAAAATTTTCAAAAAGGCTGTTATTATAATAAATGTGAACACATTAAATCCTCCCTTTAAAATACCAAGATTATCAGATTGCGCTGAAACACAAACTCAGGTATACATATAGTTTGTAAGAAATACATGAAAAAATAGATAAAGGGAAGTTAAAAACAAGGTAAATGCAACAAAGAGAAAGCAAAAATTTGAATATTAATATTAGACAAAGCAGAATTTAAGATTAAAAGTGCTAAATGAGATCACAAACCAATATTACATCATAATAAAAAGCACTTTATGAAGAAGATACAATTCATGAACTTGTATTCAATAAACAAAAGAACAAGTTTTTGCTTCATATATTTATATACTATAAATGCAAGAAAAAACGTTTAAAAGTACAAGCATAGTGAAATATTCAGATTGAATTATTGGTTTAAAATAATGTACACAAATTCTTTGACACTCCCTTTAAAAGATGAAGCTTAATTTGCTACCCCTTGAATATGGGATGTACTTAGTGATTTGCTTCTAACGAATAAGGAAAAAAGCAGAAGCGATAGTGTGCAACTTCGGAGACTAAGTCATAAAAGACACTATCACTTTCTGCCTGCTCTTTCTCTTGGATCAACACTCTGGGGAAAGCCAGCTGCTATGTCATGAGAATACTCAGGCACCCTGTGGAGAGGCCCATGTGGCTGTTCTGCCAATAGCCAGCAAAGAACTGAAATGTGCCTACAGCCATGTGAGTTAGCAACCTTGAAAATGGGTCCTCCAGCCCCAGTCAACTTTTCAAATGACTGCAGCCCTGGCCAGGAGTTTGACTGCCCCTCATGAGAGACCTTATGCCAGAACTACCTAGCTAAGCTGCACTCAAATTTCTGATCCTCAGAAACTGTGAGATACTAAATGTTTGTAGTTTTAAGCCACTAAGCATTGAGGTAATTTGGTGTACAGCAATATATAATACATATAATTAGACAGATATAATAGAAAATAAATATATGAAAAAAATTTAACATATAACCAATGAGCTTAATTTAATAGATATATGAAGAACTTTGCATCCTACAGATAGAAAATATAATTAATTTTTCATTTGTCCATGGACCCTTTATGAGAATCAATCATGTACTTCATAAAAAGAAATCCTTAACAAATTCAAATAAGAAATATTTCATAGGACACATTATTGTATCATAATCCAATAAAATTTGAAAAAAATAAAAATATGAATTGAGAAATTCTAGCTCCTTGAATTAAGATCTTTGGAAATTAAAAATTATAGTCAATAAGCATTG